TAGCACGGGAGCAGTAGATGGGGAAACTACTGGTAGATCTCTTAGCTGTTTGCTGCTGCCTTGTACAGCTCTTCAAGGATTCTGTAGAGCAGTAGTGTCAAACTCAAACAAAAAGGAGTTCCTGTAGACCACATATTGACTTAGAAAACCACAAATTAGTATTATCTGTTGTACTGTATTTTTATTTATTTTGTTAAACATTTCCTAGTTATGTTGTAATCTGGCTCAGGCCACCTCTGCTTATAGTGGATGGGAATGCATGCAGCAGCAACATACCCTCTTCTACTCTTTTCAAGAACTTGAGCAGTTCATATGATTTAGAACTGGAAGGAACATTAAAAATCATTTCAGTTTCTTTGTTATGGAAATTATCCGAGGGGATTAAGTTTTCCAAAATCACACAGATAACAACAGAGCAAAACTGTGAAGCCAGATCCTCTGATTCCTAATCCAGCTCCATTTCTACTTCACCACTCTGCCTCTCAGATCCAACCTGATGGTCCTAAGGCTTCAGAGGAATAAAAAGTAGTTCAACCTAAAAAAAAAGTTAGGTACTTCTGAAATAGTCTATTTTGGGAATAATAGGGAATTCTGCACTTGGAATTTTGTCCTCTAGAATTTTATAAGATTCAGAACGAAAAAAAAGTATATTGACATTATTGGTAACGGAGTGACTGGATTTAGTCAGAAGAAAAGCTTAGTAATGGGTTTGAACCAGTAGAAATAGAAAAAGTTCCTGAGGAAACATGATTCTGCAGAACAGGAGATCAAGTTAAGACCCACATGGAAGATGGCATTGGAAGCGGCCCACCAGTCTTCTTGGTCTCCTTCTTGCCCTCACCCACAGGGGGCCAAAATGCTTAACAAATAGCTCATTCCTCTTTGTACTGCACAAATAGGTAAGAAGCAGATGCATTTCTTTTTTTTAATCCCATGTCATCTGCAAATTTGATAAACTTGTTAGTCATACGTTCTTTCAAGTAATTGATGAAGTTGTTAAATGAAGGGCCACAGACAGCTTCCTAGGACACGCAACCAGAGACCTCCCTCTAATCAGAACCCAGTATTGACTGTCCTTTGTATCTGGCACTCAGCTAGTTCAAAATCACCTAACTGTAGTATAATTCAGCTCGTATCCTTCCTTTTTTTTCCCTGCAAAGAGACATGAAAAAATTTGTCAAATGTTTTGCCAAAATCTAGACACACTTTGTCTGTAGCATTCTCTTATTATACTAACATCCTTGTCTTCCTTCCTTTCAACCCCTTCAACCTTGAACTACACCCTGACCTCTTCAGCTCTGATAGATAAGGTTTCAAAAGCCTTATCTTGCTGGGGAACCAGGCCTCCACTCTATTTCCCAGCCATTGCCTCACTATGTTACTGCCTACTCTCTGGCCACCATCTTCATCTTAGCTTACTATAACCTTAGACTGTCTCTGTGTCTTGAGGATCTGAAAGGTGAGCTTTCAGCTTACCTTGCTGAGAACTTGGTTTCCACTACACTTTTATGCCTTGTTCGTATCTCATCCAACCCTTCTGGCTCCTCTATGTATATTTTTTTCCCCATTAGGATGTAAGCTGATTGAGGGCAAGGACTGTCTTCCTTGCTTCTCTTTGTATCCCTCCTACTTAGTAGCAAGCCTGGCACAAAGTAAGTGCTTAATTAGTGCAATCATTAGTAGGCATTCTCCCCTTCTTTGAAAATTAAGACATTTTGCCATTTAACAACCCTGGAGCATCTCTCCCAGTCTCCACAATCTTTTAAAAATCGCTGACAATGGCTTAGCAATCAGGACCCTGATATACATAGCTTATCCAGATCTGGTTATGTGAACCATCAAGGGCAACTACATGCTCACTTAATATCTTCTTAATCTCATGCTTCAATTCACTGTGAATCAGATTTATTCTCTTTTTTCCAGTTCAGAGACAAGAATTAAATAGATCTATCTTCTCTCTGTATCCCATTATCCTCATCTCATATCGGATCTAACCCTTCTTTGATCCTCTTCTTCCTAATATAGCTTTAAAAATAAAAAGCCCCTTTTATTGTCCATAGCCTTTATTTCTAACCTCAGTTCCCTCTGAGTTTTGACACTATTCTTAAAGTACCACATCATGCTTTCTGTTTGTTTTCCCCATTTCTTCCCCTTGCTTCTACCTTACATATGTGTTTTGTTTTAAAGCCCAAAGTCGAATTCCCTGGTCAAACATTGGTCCATTTAAATACCTCCCTCTTTTCTGACTCATTTTAATTGTTACTGTTTGCGTGTTCAGAATTTCCTTTTTTAGAGCTTTCCATCCCCCTTAGTATGACTTCCTTTACAGAATTTTAGGCCAAGGGACCATAACTATCCTTTCTCTGAACCCTTTGAAAACTACTTTTCTAAAATTTAGGGTTATATGACAAACTATGCCTGGCTTTCTTCTTCTTTTCTATCATGAATGCCAAGTTGGAGCAGTTACTTTTCCCAAAGGTTCCCATCTTCATTACTTGAGGCATGGGTTTTTTCTTGTTGGCCAAAATCAGGTCCAGAATAACATTTTCTCTTGTTGCTTCTTCCACCTTTTGAGGGAAGAAATTTTAAGTTAAGCAAGCCAATTTATTCATTCTGTTAATTTGACAGAGTTCCAGGAGATATCTAGATAATTGAAGTCTCCTATCACTGTTATATCTGGTTTTCATGCCAGGCTTGTTATCTGCCTCTTGATGTATTTCACATTTATTTCCTTCTTTCTTTTTCTTAGGAGTTCCTCTGGAACACCTCATTTGTTTTCCTGTTTTCCAGTGGTCTATAGGATATCCCCCCATTCTGTTGATCTTCATCCAAATACTCATATCTGTCTTACTTTCCCCTGCTTTGGTTCCTTAATTTCTTCACATGAGTATATCTTTTTAATATACAATTCTGTGCCCTTCTTTATTGATTCTGTTGTTCCTTTTGAATGAGGTAAACCCTTTTAGAGTCATATTCCAGTTGTGATTCCTACCTTACCAAGTTTCACTGAGGTGAAATTTGCTTTCTTGTATTGGGATATCCAGTTCACCTTCCTTATTATTACTTATACTTTATATATTTGTGCATAAGTATCTAAGACCATAATATTATTCCTAACTGTTTTCTTAGATTTTTATCTTTTATGAATTATCAGATACTCCTGCTGCTATTCTGTGTTGAACCTGTTACCCTCTGTGATATCTAATTTGGCAGAGGTATGTGGGCAAGTTTCTTCCAGTTTTCTTTCTTTTTTTTTTTTCAGTTAAAACCTTTCTGAGCATATTTGCCAGAGTCCAGTAAACATGTATTTGTCAACCTCCCCGACCAAGTCTGTCATTCTTACGTTTTAAGCTGTTGTCCAGAAATCTAAATCCCATTCTTAACCACCATCTTAATAAATTGTATACTTCCCAAGTCTGCCTTTCCCTTCTGAAGCCCAGGCCCTTAAATCACCAATTCTGATGAAAACCCAACCTATGTCCCTAAAGTTTCTTGCCCAGGACTTCATATTCCCAACAACACTTTCTGGGTTTCTTGTAGCAGCATCATTTGTTCTTACATTAATCACCAGACAAGATTTCTCTTTAAAATTAACACATATCATTAAGTTGGAGTACTTACCTTTATTTCCAAGATACTTTGCAGATAATCATGTGTCAGTAGGTAGCCATCATAATGTACTTCAGGATTCACACTGCCTTTTTACGGAATTGTCCGCAAATCAACAGAGTACATCATAGAATCAATGCTGGAACTTGGAGCTTTTGGATATCTTTCTCTTGTTGCTTAAATTCCTCAATTAGGTTGTTGATATTCTGTTTCTCTTTTAACATAGAATTAGAGGTATGTAACAACAATTCATTTTTCAGCTGCACCCTCCATATTCTTAAACCACCTTCCTCTCTTCTTTTTTGGTTCTCTTCTCCATCAGAAGAACATGACTTGTCACTCACCACTACTTTATCTATTATTTCTGGCTTGGAATGTCAAGGAATACACATTTGGGACTGTAGTGAAGGGTAGGAGCAAGCATGGTGAAACTTCCGGGGAACATCCTACCTCTTTGCCACTATGTCGGGGTGAGGTAACCTTGGGTGGTCACTGTGTTCTGCTACTGACAAACAGGAAGCATAGTAGTCAGTGTACTGGCTTTACTGCTGCTTTCTACATCCCCACTCCCATTTGATGATCTTGAAGATCTGATTTAAACAAACAGGTATCAATCAATCAATGAACAAGCATTTATTAAGCACCTTTATATGCTAGGCCCAGTAAAAGTTCTCCCAATGGAAAGACTTTTATATTGATTCCATTTCGGCATTTGAGTAGGCCAAGAATAAATCTTTTCAGTTGACTTTTAGGATGTCAAATTTTGTATTACTGTTTCCCCCACTAGCCCTTTACAAATTCATCACTTCAGTCTAGTCAAAATGATTCCTTTAGATAGCTTCAAAGCCAGTGATCCTGAGTATACCTCCTTATATCATTTACCTTGGAGAAAATTCTTTTTCAAGGAAATTCTGTCATCCTCTTCCTCAGCCTTCTTAACTTGGTCAACAGAAAGTAATACATAGATTTTTTCCCCTGTGTTGTTAAATTGAAAAAGCATGCACACTACATGATAAATCTGATCCATAAGTACAAAAATTACAAGTGTCATTAATCCATCTCCTGAGTCAGGATCCATAGTTCATTCACTAAAACACACCATTTATAACTCCCTGCATTTATCAGTGTTTATTTCTTTATGTGCTGGCACGTAGGTGAGAATTCAGTTTCTGGTGCTACCTGTCCTCAGTGGAAGTTCATTAAAAGTTCGTAAGGTTTTATAAAAAGCCTTATTCCCATCATTGTCCCCATCATGTACAATCTTAATGATAAAAAGACTAGAGTCAGAGAGTAGGGGCTGGATGAACAAAGAAGATATTCACATAGGAGACAGATTTACAATATTTTGGCTTCATGGCTCAGTCACTGATGTGCTTCCTCCTCCTCCCTAGTTATCTGGGAGTTCGAACAACAGGAAGAGTCTCCAGGAACCTAGATTTGATTATTACAACTATGAAGCTCGTGAACTTGATATCAGCGATTGTGAACTTCCCCATGTCATTGAAATCTATGACTTTCCTCAGGAATTTCGCACCGAAGACCTCCTACGTGTCTTCTGCAGCTATCAGTGAGTGTTCTTGCATGGTTGGGGATGGTAGGGGGATTTGGGGTAAAGATACTTTGGAAACCCTTCTGCAAACACTTGTATGTCTTCAGTTTTCCTAAGAATGACTACAGCTTCAAGTGAACTTATGTCCCTAAAGTTTAGAATTTTTTTTTACCAATACTGTCATAAAAAATAATTCTGCACAATTAATGCCTTTTCAAACTCTTTCACACTCCTTAAGATACTAATTAGTCTTTGTAGACACCCTATGTACCAGATCATTTCTCACTCAAAGATCTATTGCCCTTGACTTGCTTTCTTTGCATTTACTCCTTTGAATGGTGTAATGGTTTCCAGTTGGCCTTGCTATTTTGTCTTAGCTCTTAAAGGAATCCAAACTGTTTCTTGTAGCCTGTCTGTTGGTCTCACTATGTGTCTGGACTTCATCTCCCTAAGTTTGCCTTAAATTCTTCTGACTGCTTCTTTTTTGGCTTCCACTAAAAGGCTTTTTACCGCTATTCAGATAGGATCATATGGCTATCAAGTACTTTGCTTAGACTTAACTACAATAGCTAGAAACTTTCTTTACCCTTGACCTTGCTCATACCATTTTCTCCCAAATCTCTTCAAAGTGACTGTCCTCAACTTGACTCTGTCATTTTTGACTACTTTCTGCTAAACCTTGTAGAGATTAGTGTGGGAAAAGATTACTCTAGTGGTTTGGGCCTGTGTCTAACTAGGACTAACAAATTTTTCACCCCACAGAATATTCTCTAGTGTTGAGTTCAGTCTTTTTCTAAATATCTTTGTAGTAAAGAATCTTATTCTTTTGTCCCCACAAATCCAAAAGGATCTCCATGCTTCTTCACCTAACCACATTTAAATTTAATCATATTTGCTTAAGAATCAATCCTTCAAGCCCTTGAATTATTTCTGTCTTATTTCTCAAAACTTTCTACTACTCGTTCAACTGCTTGTACCCTGCCACTTATTCACTTTGAATATCAGTTCTTTTGATTACTATATATTCACAATTCTTAACTTTAACATTAACATGTCAAATATTTCTTATCCAATTAACAGGTATTTATTTAAAACCTATCTTTCAGTAATACTTGCCTCTGTCATCTCTTCTCTCACTTTCCTCACTTTCTCACTCTTTCATTTGGTAATTATTTATTGAGTGCCTATAGCCTACTTAATCATTCTCTTTGTACTGTGGGGGAGTCAGAACAAATATAATGACATAGATTCACCCCTCAAGAAGTTTGTAGGCTTTCCAGGAAGATGAGGCATCCACACATAAAACAAAATATGATTAAGTGCTATACTAAGTGGTATAGTTTAAGTATTAGAATATTATAGACCATTGCTTATACTACTTATTACTCTGTAAAAGATGTTTTTCTGACCATATAGAAGATTTTGTTAATTCTATATGTTTCTTCTATAAGGGTAGAGGAATACCTTCCTAAGTGCTAATTACCAATATTGCTAGTAAGTGAACTGCCAGGAAAAGGGGAGACATGAGCGTTTTTAGGAACCCTGGCTAACATAATAAACAAGTAGTTTTCAGTGAGTTTGCAGGCAGACTAAGGATTTAGTTGAAGAGTGGGAGTGTTGTCAAATACTTTTTTCAACTTAGAGACAAGGAAATATTGATACAGAAGAAACTCTTGCCATGTTACATAGAACACATAAGGTATGTTTTTCTGCCTGAGTTGATCACCAGCTGTATCTAACACACTATAAGCTAGTCTACTAAAGAAGGTGAAAGGCTTGGAGTCCATCTGAAGTACATTTCTATCTTATTAGAAATGATAAAGTTTTCTTATATAAAATGAAAAAAATAATTTTAAAGCAAAATTATTCAGGCACAAGAGGACCAAAATCATTGTCTAGAGTTAGGTAAGTGAAAGATTGAGACATCAAGGAAAGAGAAGAAACATTTTCTTTTTGGAACTCTACATTAGATATCAGATTTATCTTCAAAGAATAATTTGCTATACTCTGAAAAAGTACCATCCCATATTCCACAGAACACAAAGAATATTCACAGGCACAAACCAGAATTTGTGGCAGAGTTCTGTTACCATCAAGATGAAGAGATCTATTGATGATGCTAGATCTGACAAAGCAAGTGAAAATGTGTGCTATCACAACATGTCTTAAGACTGTATCTCCAAAAGATGACAGAGACTGTGAGATAGATAGATAGATTAGATAGATAGGTAGATAGATAGATAGATAGATAGATAGATAGATAGATAGATAGATAGATATACGTACACACACAATAGAAACTGGCATGTTTGGGGAGGGGGGCAGTACATGATACAACTTAGGCGAATAATGTGTATACTCTCAGCTTCCATATACAAGTACAATAGACCCCTTCCTCCCTCTGCTTGAAGAGGGTGGAGGTTAGACATTGGAGAGCTACTCCTAGATCTTCTACCATTTAAAGAGGGCACCCAAGAAATTCTCTGCATCATTTTCCACCCAGCTGTTCTCCTACATTTTAAGATCTATAGAAATTCATCATTCTGCAAGATGAATTCAGATCTGTAACTTGTACCTCCTCAACTCATTTCCCACTTTGGCTACAAAACCACATCATGTTCCCTCCTACGGGGTACATACCACTACCACTACACACACACACACACACCATTTCAGCTCCTTTTTTTGTATTGTCTCCCCCATTAGACTTTGAGCTCCTTGATGGCAGGAACTATCTTATTTCTTTCTTTGTACTCTCAGCATTTAGCACAGTTTCTGGCACATAGTAGGTGCTTAATAAATGTTTATTGACTCTGACAACAAAGTATAGATAGCAAAAAATGGTTCTTGAATTCAGGAAAGTAAAATTTGATAGGTTTCACTGAAACTTGGCACAAGATTTATGACTAGAATATGACATTAGAAATGTTTACATTGTTCAAAAGGAGATTAAATAGAAAGGAAGTGGATGTAACACCACATAAAGAAAGTATGTTTGTATTTGAGAACATGAGAGTAAAAATACAAAAGAACATTTACTAACATGTAAATAGAGAAAAAATAGAAACAGTATTGTTATAGGGGTATAAATGACCCAGCCAGGTAGAGAATATAGATGATATTTTTCTAAGACAGACTATAAGACTGGCATGGGTAGCAGAATTTGGTGATAATTTGTGTGGGAAGAGAATTTGACAAGGCAAGCATCTGCTAGAAGTCTCATTCTTTTAAAAGCAGAGCATCTGATAAATCCTTGACTGGACTTGGTGTTAATTTATTTTCCCATAAGGCAGAGAAAGCAACAAAAGGAATTATTGTGGATGTTTTAGGATTATAGCTTCGATGTGTTAAGGAACTCGGAAACTGTCTGGTCTCTCCCCCCAACTCAGCCCTGTTTTACAAATGGCATTACTGGCTTGAGGCCAGTGGAGTTTCAGTGACTTGTATGTGTCAGAGGTAAAATTTGAACCCAGACCCTCTGACTCTAGAACCTGTATTCTTTCCAGTGTACCAAATTCTAACAAACAAGAAAGAACTTGTGGAAGGGGAGATGGTAGGAACCTTGGGGAAGACAAACTGATCTTGAGATTCCTAGGAGCAAGGGAAGGGAATGCTAGGCAGAGTGGATCAAAACAAAGATAAGAGGAAAGAAGGGTGTGATGACTTGGTCAGAGACTCTGAAGAGAGGCACAGCTCTTTGTAGCATAGGAGAGTCTTAAGGGGAAAAAAAAACATTGAAAACTCTGTCAAAGAAGGGGCAGCAGGACACACAGGTAGAAACCAGTGTGCCACAAACGTGCTCTCTTATTAGCTCGAGTTTTTAAAAGATGTGTCCAGAAGATGAAGGAAGGGGCATGTGAGTGAGGATAAATAGAAAAGAGGGACACAGCCTAGCAGAAGAGAGTCCAAGAGGTGACAGCCAAGAAAGAAGAGTATTTTCAGATATGTTTGGAGAAGATTAAGAAAAGGATAAAGGAGGCCTGTTGGAGATATAATAATAGAAGGCAGAGCTACTTGATTTCTTCTTTCCCTCCCTACTCCCTGTCATTCTCTCCAACAAACAGAATGGCATTCTTACTGAGATGTAGAAATCATGTGATGTGAGAAACATTTGGAGGACCTAAAGATATTGAGGCTGGAAAAGAAGGATGGGGGAGGGAGGGAGATAAAGAAACTGATGATCACTGCACTGAAGAAAGAACAGATGTATTCTCTGTTGTTTGAAAGGCCAGGAGATGTAGTGGTGGAGCAGCTTGGGCTATTAGTGTGAGCTCCTGTGGCCGGAAGTCTTCAGAGAGATGATATATCCCTCATTCAGGCATGTTTTAGAAAGAACAATTTCATGGTCTGGGAGGCTGGACTGGAGAGCTGCTAATGTTCTCTTCCTTTATGTAGTTCTGTGATAGGAGTTTGGAAAAGGGGTAGATCAGAGGTGCGGCTAGATTGCTTAAATCAGTTCTTCATGGAGGCCATGGGAATGGAGTGGGATCTTTAAAAATGGTTACAGAAGAAGGAGTAGAATATTTCTCTTGGAAAAACAACTTGGGCAGACAGAGGCAGAACTGACCGTGCACTGAGTCATTTCAGTGAGGAGTTTTGGAAATAAATTTGTGTTGAGGAGTAATAAAATGAGAATGGCTACGCCCTGGAAGGGTTCAGATTACTAAACGTAAAACATAAACGTAGAAATTAGGCTGAGGAGCTTTGTCCTGCAGGCATTTGCAAACCAACTTGCATTTTTTTCATAAAGGATTTTGAATAGGATCAAAGCACTGTGTTAAGAAGTTACTGTAGCTACTGTAATTCTAAAGGTAGCAGCCTCTCCCTCCTTGGGGGTTTTGTGTCCAATGGCCTCTTTTCATCTTGGTTGTAGTGGCAATTCTTTTTCAGGTGTGGGGTGAGCTAACATCCCTTCCAACTTTGAGATCCTTTATGTAGATAAGTAAAAGAGAGATTGAATGGAGAAAAGACTAGAGGCAGAAAAAAGCAGTTAGAAGATTGTTGGGAGTGATACAGGC